TTCTTGGAAGTTATAGAGCTTTTTCTTAGCTTTCCAATGAGACTAAAATTGAGTCATTCATATAAGTATAACTTAAGTTATGGGCGAAATACTAAAGTAGAGTGTAATCTCCAGAACCGTGGCGTTGTTGGCGTCAAGATGGCGCTATTGGCACCACCAAACAGTGGGATGGCGTTGATGGCACCGTAAGACAGTGGGAAGTTAGTGTTTTGGCGCTATGAGCGCCGTTCGAGCGCTATCAGCGCCGGGTCTTGCGAATTCAACACCCTTTTCTTCAAAAGTTCATAACTTGAGCTACGGTGCTCTAAATTGGGCGCGGTTTGAACCCACGCGTAGCTAATGAAGAGATATATATCATAGTAGGAGATGAGGACCATAGAGGAAGTATAGAATCCACTGTGTAAATAAAAAATGAAGGTGTTTAGTGTTGAATATGAATAAAAAGGAGTTTTAAGCCTTGTTGGTTTAAAGGGACTACTTGACACTTTGTGGGAGCAATGTGTGGCATAGTTAAATAAACCTTAAGTGTTTCGTATATTGTTTAAGTTTTGGTTATAACTTTTGAAATTGATTTTAAACAACCATATTATTAATGCAAAAGAAAAAAGTTTATCTGTTTTATAATTCAATTGTTGTGATTGTAACTGCGCTTAATGTCATACGTAATGTTAACAAACTAGTTCTAGAACGGGGTGTTACACAAAGCGACCGTCGAAGTAGAATCACTCTCAATAATTAGACGACGCTAACCTTTCTGCCAATCAATATTAAGACCATTCCAAACCCCTTATAATTCTGATGTAAGGGCATTGCAGATTCTAATGAGAGACAAAAACCCCACGAGCCAAGATCCATAAGGGTTGTGGAATAAACCCCCACAAGCAGCTGCACCTGGAAATCCTCTTGCCGCATCGTCCGTATTAAGCTTAATGAACCCAAACGTTGAAAATTCCTAATGGACTAAAATATCAGCTGGATAAGGAATTATCAGATGTAAAAATACCCGTCATGTCCACAAATTGACGCTGAATAAAGGCAATAAAAATGTGGTAATGGAGCAGCCACCATATGAGAATGAGCAACTTGATTTCGCCAATACCAAATTTGATATAGGAAATTAACGAAAAAGGAAGACCAATTACGAATATCAAGCTTCTCAAGGAACTAAAATTCACGCGACCAATAGAATAAATCGCCTTGAAAAAATTCATCATGAAGAGCTAAAGGAATAAAGGCACACCATAATTCACAAATCACTGAACAATCGCGCAAAGCATGAAGAATTGTCTCATCTTCTTTCTTGCAAACAGAACAAGTACTATCTCCATAAGACCAAAAAGCAACCTAATTTCTAGTAGGTAGTTTACCGTGAGAAATCTTCCATAAAAGAAGCTTTAAATGATGAGGGCCATTCCATTTCCATATCTTGGACCAACATCTCTCCTTCTAAATAATCTGCTTTAACTCTTGAGTACCACTAATCAGATTATATAGCACCCTAACCGAGATCAGATCACTATTTCCCAGAGTTCACTATTTTTAACCAGGGGCTCCAAATTCGAAAGTGGTATCACATTACGAATATGCAGCACCACATCAAAAGGGGAAAAAAAGCCAAGTAGAAATTAGATCAATCACATGAATCTATTTTTTGTATCTTCTAACTCTACGGAGAAGAATTTTTCTTTCATGTGAAGAATAATATAAATTAAACTATTAATTTTATCATTTATTTATGATTTTAATTTCGTAATTAGGAATTTTGACTATATATTATTCATTATTTAAAATTTTTATTGTATTTTGAATGATCTTATTATAACTTAGAATGTATAAATAGGTCAATAGAATATTTAACTATGTTGGGTACATAAATAATGTAAATAGTTAGGATTTTATTTATCATTATATAACATTAATATTTTTTTAAGAGATGAAATGATATTTGAGTAGAAATAGCATGTCGTCGCTTACTAAAAAAAAAGAAATAGCATGTCGTCCTACCAAAAAAAGAAAAGAGTAAACACCTGTTAGTATTTGGGTGTCCTAGAGACAATCTTATGATTAAATAAGGACATAGATGTAGACCTTTTTAATATTGTCGCAAATAAATAAAAGCACTCTTTATCTTGTTTCATAATTTTGTCTCGATATTAATGTTAATATATTATGAATAACTTGATAAACCCCGTGGAATAAAATAGGTATCTCTTGAGTATCTGTGATAAGATCACAATCATGAGGATTCAAGAATACCAGATGTTTATTCCTAATTTATGTTCCTAGTCTAGAGATACTGAGAATGCGGTCAGTAATCTCGGGTAAGACTAGCACGACTTATCTACTTGTATATGGATACAAGGTATAGACCTCATGTGCTACAGATATGGAGATGTCTTAGCTAAAGTCGTGGGTGGACCTATAAGGGTATAGCTCGCACTGAACGGACCCACAAAGAGACTCTATGAGGAAATCTCACAGATAGTATCATTAGAGTAGTCTCTATATATTTGGGTATGTATTTCCTTAGACCAGAAGTTATCACTTAGACTGTGTTCTAGAAGGCATGCCTTGATTGTATACCTCGTCTGCCTGAAACATGGAGACTCATAGGTATGCTCTTGGGCTTGTCCTGATAGGGCACAGGGTTTGGGTAATAAGCTGAAGGAATTCGTCAAATCTCTGTGAGAGATTAGGTTATCCTTAAACCGGAGAAATCGGGATGACATTTACAGTGACTCGGGAATCTAAGCACAGTAAAAGAGATCATAAGATGATCTGCCTTTAGAGTCAGTAAATTGAAGACTCCCTATTTCATAAAAAGCTAACCCTAAACCGCAAGGGATGATACGTTTCTCTACCCTAGGTTTTATGGGAAGGTAACCGAGACGAAGGGACAAACATACGGCAACCAATTATGTTTAATAGGATGATCAAATCATTAATCTAACTAGTTCTGGGGCAACAAAGCATTGCTAGTGCTCTGTGTTGTCATTAGGTGGGTTGTGGGCTTATTGGGCCCAGGCTCATTTATGTCAGTGGCTATGTTGGACCTAATGGGTCACACGCAAACACCTAATTGTCTAGATGCTCTAGCATTAAAGGTATTGGGCCTAATAATAGTTATTAGCCCAAGAAGTTGTTTGGAACTCCACCTAAAGGGGTGGAGGGCGCATGGATAATTGTAATGGGCTTGGATAGTCCAAGTCATTACTAATTAATTTAATTAGTTAAATTAATTATCAAACATTTAAATTTTGAATTTTGGAATTTGAATTTTGGAATTTGAAATTTGAATTTGAATTTTGAAATTCGAATTTTGAATTTGAAATTTGAAATTTGAAATTTGAAATTTGAAATTTGAAATTTGAAATTTGAATTTTGAATTCGAATTTGGAATTTTGAATTTTGAAATTTGAAATTTGAATTTTGAATTTTGAATTTTGAATTTGAATTTGAATATTTGAATTTAAATGATTAAATTCGAATTTGAATTGGCTATGAAAAATTGTTTCATTACAAAAGGACAAGATGAGATCTTGTTGGAAAGGGACAAGATGAGATCTTGTTGGAACATAACAAGATTAGATCTTGTTGGAACATATCAAGAGGAAATCTTTTGGACATAATCTAAGAAGATTTGGGGCGCTGATTTGGCTGTTGGTTAGTCATCAGAATCAGCTCCAGAAGATACGATATGTTGGGAGAATATTTGAGTGATTTGATTCAAGTTTGAATGCAACTACTCAAATGTATCTGGTCATTATTTAGGCTATATGGGGCGCACCATATAGCTGATTATATGATGATTTATGATCAGATATTTGATTAGCTTTGAACCTAATATCATAAAGATATGATAGGATGCTGTTGGCAAGATTTGATAAGATTTGATTTGCAACAAATCCTCTTATTTCTCCTTGTTGGTACGCCCTTTTGAAGGGATTTTAGAGGATTAAAAATCTGATTGCATCATGACTCTCTTGATCACTTCTTGTGCGCCTAATAGCATATAAGTTCCTCCTAGGGTTTTGTGAAAAGCTAAGCCATTCTCTCCTTATTCCTGCGCCACTTTTGTGAGGTTTTCTCTCAGAAAAATTCACTCTTCTAAACACTTTTACATAGTCTCCTTTCATCACACATTGAGCGCATAACAAGCCTTATTGTGGTGATCAATCGGCGGCTTTACTGGAAGGAGTTCCTGTATCTAGACGCGGGTGGTGTGGATCAACGTTAGAGGGTCTGAACCTTTCAGACCTACCTTGATCATCTTGAGTTTTCACGAACAAGGTATGACATACGTCTTAAAGTATGTATCTTGACATGCATGTGTATTCCGCTTGCGGAATTTTTTTTGTTTTTCCCTCTAACATGCTACGGCCTTCAAGGCCAATTCGAACTTTCAACACCCTTTTTGGTCCCTAACAAAAAACACGGTCCCCACTTTAGTCTCATACAAAAAATAAATTAGTCAGTTAATCCCTGACAAATTCAAAGTGGACCCATTTTAGTCCTTTTGAGGGACTAATATGAGTCTTTTATGAATTTGTGAGGGACCACGATTTCAACTAAATGGGTCCACTTTGAATTTGTTAAGAACTAACTAACTAATTTATTTTTGTAAAGAACTAAAGTGGGGACCGTATTTTTTTGTTAAAGACCAAAAAAAATATTTACTCAAAAAAAAAAAAATAGCATGTCGTACTCTCCCAAAATGAATGCCCTTAAATTTTCCTACACGAGGAGGTATAAATACTCTTAAATTTTTCTTAGACGGAGGTGTCTTTCTCTAGATTTTGGACTTTTTGTCTTCACTCGCTTACAAAACCCCTGGTTGTATTTTTCTTTTTGAATTTCAATCAACAAAAGTAAAATAATATATATTTTTCCTAGTCATAAGAAAAATATCTTATATATCATAAGGTGAATGAGTCAATATGTGAATATTAAAAAAGAAAAGAAAAAAAGCATACAACATAAAACATAAAGAATAGGAAAAATATCAGGGTTGATGAATCTGGTCGCTGATACGGCGTAGTCTTTTTCATCTCTCTCATTTTCCACTGTAAACCCTAGTTTGCAAAATCCAAAAATATCTTCTTTCTTCTTCGTTGTTTCTTTGCTCACACTCGTACAGAGTACCTCTCTCTCTCTCTCTCTCTCTAAACGCGTTGCCCTAATTTTGGATTCGAGTTCTAACTGCCTGCAGAGAAAATTCGTGTCGCTCTCATCGAATTCTTCTTGGACACTGAAATCGAACTTCAGTTTTGCTCTTTCACTACAGGTAAAGGTTAAATTTGAAATCTTTTGTGGTGCCCATGAGCTGAACGGCTTTGGTTCCTGTAATTTTCAGCTTGCAAACTTGTTTTTTTTTTTAATTTTTCTATAAATGAAATAGTGTGCCCTTTGAACGGCTTTGGTTCCTGTAATTTTCAGCTTGCAAAATTGTTTTTGTTTTTTCTTTTTTGTTTATGTTTTTTTAATTTTCGATAATTGATACAGTGTGCCCTTATCGGTTTTTTTTTTTTCTCAATTTTTACTTTGGAGTCCTTTAAGCTGTAAAATATGCAAATTACGCTGGACTGAAAAATTATTTATATGGATTTTACTTATTTTTTGATGATAGATCATCTAGGTAGTGGCATATAGAACTACATTTCTAGAGACATTTGGTGCGGATTATCATGTGGTGATGGATGCTGGTGCTGATGTGAAGTTTCTTAATATGTAATATATACATGTACATGTACATATCTTAGTATGGAGAAAATTGCATGTGGAGACTTAATAGGAGTTAATGTCAATGGTGATGTTATAAGATGATATGATATTTGTGGCCAATTTCGTAGAGGGCATAGAATTGATCAAATTTGATTTTGGCAGATATGTTACAGAAAATCTTGGAGACATAATCAATTATTTATATCAGATTTCTGGTAATTAAAGAAAGTGAAAAAATTGAAGGGATAAGCATATGTTGTTGACATCATTAGGGATTATATTTTATTTATTTTACACATTAGTTCATTAATTTTTTGTTTCTCATTATTGTATTTAATGGACAGGGAACAATTGGATATTTGTGACACGATCTTTACATTGCAAAATTTATATACATATACATCAACTAAGTTTAATCAGCTTTCAACCTCATGGCTGGATTGTTGCTTGCTGATATCTCTCATCATGGAGCACATCAAGGTGGTTCTCAACGATACTCTGAAGAGAAGCCAGAGGATGGTTCAAGATGGTACTTCTCTAGGAAGGAGATTGAAGAAAATTCACCATCCAAACAAGATGGCATAGATTTGAAGAAAGAAACTTACCTACGCAAATCATACTGTACATTTCTGCAAGATTTAGGCATGAGACTTAAAGTGTGAGTCTTTATTGGTAGCCTTAGTCAACTGTCTTAGCTGCGTTAGGCCCCTTATTATCATTTGCCAGTTTAAGACATGCAATTTATTGCTAGTATCCGTTGTTCCACTTTTTTCTACCGATTTAAATGTGTTTCTGGTGGAATTTTTTTTTTTTTTTGGCTTTTTTATAAATTATACAGAAGGTTGTGTTAACTGTGGTTTGTTTCTTTGGAGGATCTCATTAGGAGTATCTTAATGGCTTGAAGATGTTTATATATTTATACTGCTGGCGATTTCGGGATTTTTTTTTATCTCTAATCATATTAAAATTACTAATAAATGGCAATGAAGACACTTAGCTTCATTTATCATGATGTTGGTGCTGGTTTAACTGTGATGCAGACCTCAGGTAACTATTGCAACAGCAATAATTTTTTGTCATCGATTCTTTCTTCGGCAGTCCCATGCAAAGAATGACAGGAGGGTGAGTCTGTATTTTGTTTAGACAACATGCATACTGTTATTGTCGGATAACTATTCTGTGTTTGAAGTGTGAATAAATTTATGCTTTTTATGAATTTCAAATTTGTTTGAAGTCCCCTAGATGTTCGTGTAAGAACAAAAATTTGTTATCAAGAACATGACATAGAGAGTAAGAGGTCAGCTGAAATTTTCTTGTGAGAAAGTAGTAAAACAAGACTTAATGGAATGAGATCTAGATTGGAGAATGATGTCTTCAGACACAGTGAAGAAAAATGATTAACAGTGGAGGATTAGATCTGTTTTTTGTTCTTGTGTTCTAGATGATCCTTTTAATTCCTTGTTCCTTATATTTATTTATTTAATTATTTATTTATCTTTCTTTCTAATTTACTTTTTTCTTCTTATTTAGTTATTTATCCTCTTATCTAATTTACTTTTTTCATTTTATTTTTATTTTTTATTTACTACTATTATTTATTTATTTTTTCTTTTTCCTCAATCCTTTATTTTTTATTAATTTTTTTGGGTCCATCGATTGCTGACCTCAACTGGTTTGGGCTATAGGTTTTATTGATGTTGATGTATGTATTTCAAATTTTCTGAGTAGTGTTAGCAAATCCTTTTTTGGACTGGGTACTATAGGTTTGTGGGTATTGTATTTAAGTTCTTCTGTTTTGATGACTCTAGTTCAATATGATTTATTTATGATGAATGGCAAGGTTAATCAAAATTAACTCCAAATCAGGTATGTTCAACAGTTTATAGAATTTAGGATTTACAATGACAATTAAAATAAGGTAAGAGAGTGTGGACATTTTTGTATTCTTGGGAATATCCTAGAAAAAAAGAAGAGAAAAGAATAAATGCTTCTGTTATTTATATCGGAAGTTGTTAAAACAAATGGCTTATTGCTGAAGATTTATTTATTTACTTTGTGTGCTTGTGCTTATCAAAATATAGTACTGATAGACTAGTGCACTATTTCGATACATATGGTGGATACTGTTATGTAAATATATGTTATATCTGCACATTAAGAAAGCTGTTATACATGTATCATGCATGAGGACCATGAAAAAAGAGCAAGCTACCAAATTCATTCAATAATTGTGAGTGCCAGATAAGGGAAGGTTGCTTGAGGTAGCTTATCATGTTCAATGTCGTGAAAATGAAAAAATGATCAGTGTCATTGGTTAACAGATTCGAAGAACTCAGGAATAGATGTAGATGACAATTGACAACATAAAAACTATATCTTTGAGTAGAGCTTAATTTAGGAGGCCATAATTGAGGCTGATCATAATTAGTTTTTCTAAAAGGAATTAAATGCAAGGCTAAAATAGCTAGTATTTAAACTTGGTCGGTCACATGTACTGCCCCCCCCCCCCCCCCCCCCCCTCCTTCTCCTGATTGAAGGAAAATATAAATTATTGTCAATTGTACCATGAATTGTTCTCCTTGTGAAATATAGAAGAAAGTGAAATTGAAGGATGGATGTTATACTATGGTTGGCATAATATTAGCAAAGCAATTAGGCCAATCTATTGGTAGTTGTGTAGCCGGCAGTTGGGTATGGTGGTTACGCCATCAGCCAGTTTTTTAGTGGGTCTTCAGCTTGTTTTTATATCAGTGTGGGACTTAGATTTGATCTTTATTGTATTCCACATGCAGAAAATTATTTATTGAATGATTGTCTGGAGACATTATTGAGAGAATATCATATTTTCTTTCTTTCATTATCCAACTTACTGGGTTGATCTTGACCTTTCTCTAGTGGCCTAATCACTGTCCACCCCACCTTATGGGTATCATGCCGCCTTTCCTTAAAAGGATGCAGGGAAAAAATATATTTTGGGTGATCTTTTATCATGCTAATAGCCTGATATAGAAAAAGAAAAGGTTTTCTCCATAATGAAATGTGATGGTTTATGATGGTTATTATTATGCCACTGATAAAATAGCAACATCATATTTTGTTTGATTTTTTTTCCTTCTTCCGTCATACTTGGATAATCTGTAGCTACTGATGATTGAAGTGTGATGAATATTTGGTTATTTTATGTATTAAAACTATAGTCTTACATATTATGGTTGTAAGATTGATTCTGTGACCTGATATGTATATGTAAAGTTATTTATATTCATGCCTGACTAATATTTTACCAGCTTCCTTGGTGATGAAGATTATTAATTATTATCCTGTTAAACCAGTGGATTGATGCTTATTTATTTTATTAGCTTGTACTCTCATCAGGTTAGAATTAACTATTGTTATTTGGACATAAATTGTTTTTGTAGAATTGTTCTATGCCAGTCATCAACCAGTTGCTTACCTTGTCAGTTGTTTGAGTCTTGGCTGTGCCATTTAGAATGTTTAGTTTTATGCTTTAGTTATCCCATTATTGAGCTTTGAAGTATGGCTGATTCCTAGTTTTTATTTATGGTATTGTCTTTTTCTTTGTTTGGAAAACTTATGGATTTAATGTTACGTTTCTTTGTCTGTCTGTCTGACTGGCTGGCTGCCTTGCCTACATGTTTCTCTCTTTCGCAGCATTTGTTTGAGTTCTTGCACATATTCTTCTGTCAATATATGTCTTTACGTGCAAGTTCATAAATTATTTTTATATTTTTCACATGATGAACGGTTTATGATACATAGGATGAAATATTTAATTAGACACATGGTGATAATTAGTAACTTAATACGTTTTGCAGACCATTGCAACAGTGTGCATGTTTCTTGCTGGGAAGGTTGAAGAAACTCCTCGGCCACTAAAAGATGTAATTCTTGTTTCATATGAAATTATACATAAGAAGGATCCAGCAGCAGTTCAGAGAATCAAACAAAAGGTATACCATATGCCCTCATCCCACTGCTCCCAGTGCTGAACTACGTGTTAATAAATTGTTTGATTTGCAGTGGTTTGATTTAGGTCACTCTGTTCAATGTAATTCTTTTTTCTTATCTTTCTCCTAACTTCCATTCTAGTGGAAATATTTACATTTCTCTCATGGAACATATTACTCCCTGCTGCAACTAGGCCAGTGCATGCAAAAATTGACCTGAAAATTATATCTGTATTGAATTTATTGTTTTTTTTTTTGTTTTGTTTAACCTCGTGGATTAATTTCAAAAACAAATTTCTTTTGAAGTTTTCATTTTGTTCCTATTTCTTGTAATATAATTTTTTCTCATGCAATTATTTTTTACTTGCTGTTATGGCACAGGAAGTGTATGAACAGCAGAAAGAATTAATTTTACTTGGAGAGAGGGTTGTTCTTGCAACTCTTGGTTTTGATCTTAATGTGCACCATCCTTATAAACCTCTTGTTGAGGCAATAAAGAAATTCAAAGTTGCTCAAAATGCCCTCGCTCAAGTTGCGTGGAATTTTGTGAATGATGGGTATGAAGATTACACCATTTTTATTAAGGCCATTGGCCTTTGATTTTCCTTTCCTGAAATTAGGATGTGATATGCAGACTTCGGACATCTCTTTGCTTGCAATTTAAGCCCCATCACATTGCAGCCGGAGCCATATTCCTTGCTGCCAAGTTTCTCAAGGTGAAGCTCCCATCAGATGGGGAGAAGGTCTGGTGGCAAGAGTTTGATGTCACCCCACGCCAATTGGAGGGTTGGTGTCTTTCTTTTTCAGTACTAGTGGTATAAAGAAATGAGAAACAAAAATACCAACTCATCATCATTTCTCTTTTCTGTCTTTCCTCTAATTCCTGTTATTTCTTCTTTTGAATGTGATGGTATCTTAGGATTCAACTATTTGAGTAGAAGGGTGCAATCATCCTAACAGTGAATGTCATATAGTTATTTATACTTTTTTATTGTAATGCAAGACCCAATGTTTACTTACTTTCTGCAGAAGTGAGTAATCAAATGTTGGAGCTGTATGAACAAAATCGAATGCCATCCAATGATATTGAAGGAACTACTGGAGGCGGGACTTCCAATCGTAACACTGCAAAGGCTCCAGCTAGTAATGATGAAACTGCAACTGCAAACAGTAATTCCCAGACTGGAGCCACGAGTTCAAGACTCGAAACGTCAAAACCTGCATCTTCTAAGACTCTGGTTGATTCATCAGTTGCTAATCATGTTGGGCGCCCTATATCAAATCATGGCAGAAGTGGTGATTATGGGAGCACAGAAATGAAACACAGGGTGGAAGATGATGCCAAAGGAAATCATAATCCTGAGTGGGAACCTCTGCCATATAAGGAAGACTTACAAGAAGCTCAAGACATGGTGAGATCTCGATCCGATGAAGGTGACAAAGAGCAAGAAAACAATGTTGGGAAAAATGAAATGAAAGAAACTACCGAATCGAAGGATAAACATAATATCAGGAACCTAGATCACAGAGATGGCATTTTTGGCCGGCCTCCTCAGGAAGCCATTAAAAAGATTGATAGAGACAAGGTGAAGGCTGCGTTGGAGAAAAGAAGGAAAGCAGCTGGTCATATGACTAAAAAAACAGATTTCATGGATGATGATGATCTCATTGAAAGGGAACTAGAAGATATTGAACTGGCTCCTCAGAATGAGAAGAATAAACAAGAAAGGAGGCAAAGCTGGTCTAAGCCCTCAGATAGATCAGATTATGAGAACATTCATGGAAGGCATCATGATCATGCAGACGAGCAACTTCATGGGGTGAAGGGTCTGTCATCATATGAACCAGATCTAAGTGCTGTGGAAGAAGGTGAGTTATCAGCACTTGATGACATTGGTGTAGGGCTTCCATCACCCAAGTCAAGCAATCGAAGGAGAAAACCAGGGAGCTCACCGGAGAGAGCGGTGGAGGGGAAGCAACGGCATAATCATGGGCCTGGACCCCACCACAATAATCGTTTTGATTACATGGAAGATCGAAACAAGATCAGTCGGCTAGGCCATACTGAGAGGGACAGCAAAAAGCATGCACAGGAAAACCATGTTTGAAACAGTGTTTACCATGGCTGTGTGTGGACTCAATTGTTCTGAAATATTTTCTGGGCATACACCTGCTTCTTAGCAAAGATCCAGGAATGCTCTCAATTCTATTATGATTCAGCTTCCTTAGCTATCATTAAATCCCCCAGGTCACAGGAATTTTACTTGACTTTAAACAAAGTTCAATTTGGTTGGAAGGACCAATTTCATGTCCTCAATTTATAGGCAAATGGGAAAAGTTGTATGATAGGAAGTTGAATTTTATATAGATTATAGTTGGACTAGTAATGGAAGGTTGATTTTCATACAAGATCAACCATGTTTTTGTTGATTATCCCTGTGAAATAACAGTAGTTATGATGATAAACTGTGAGAAATTATAAGAGGGATGATTGTTAGTGTACTATCCTGTCGTTTAGGACTTGGGAGGGCTTGTCTCGTATGTTTCGATTACACTTGGAAGTGAATATTTGATTTTATAACTTCGATATAGGTGGTGAAATTGATTATTTACAGCCTTTCAATTTTTTGGTGTTGCACAATAGTGGAGTTGATGAAATCGTGCTTTGACTTGATTACCTTTTATGATTATTGGTCCCTTCATTCTAACTACTTTCCGATGTTATGTGCTAGAAAATATAGTTTTCTTAAGAATGCCAAGCCTTTACTCTCTATGCTGGTGTATGATTGGATGAATGAATAGTATATGTGTGTATATATATATGTATATATTGGTGAACAATAGTGTATTTTTAGTTTGTTTGATAGTGAAGTAATGATATTTACGTATGTTTATTGATTCTTTTACAAATCATAAAAAAACATTGTTAAGTGTCATCATAATTTCTGGTTTTGAACGGCACCGATTGTACGCGTTCCCCCTCCTCTCTCTCTCTTCTCTTTTGTTTGTCTCTAGTGTCTTGTACGTGTCGTCATCTTAAAATAATAAATATATGGTTTTTTTTTTTTTTTTTGACGTTAAATTTGTCTTTAAATATTATTTTTTACATTAAATTGGTCTTTGTGAAAACCCTAATTTGATGTTGAAATTTGATACTCAAAAAGCATTTTGATGTATTTATTTTTAAAGAATGACTAATAACATTTGTATTTTAAGGAGGCATAATCAGTGTTTGCTCAATATTTTTACACAATTTGGTTCTATGATTTGAACAATTACATAAAGCATTTGTATGATAAATTGTTTGGAATTCAATATAGTACAGAAGAATTCATGTAACTATTGGGGTGCCAAAGTTATGGAAACACATTAGCTTAAAAATAGTTTCTCAAAAAGAACTGACACGTGAAAAATCTTCGGTAAGGAAAAACGATGGAGAAAAGTAGAAGAATTTTCATTAACGGAAAACTCATACGAAAAGGGAGAATAATTATACTCTCTTTTGATATAGGAGAATAAATATTTCTCTATACAAAATAGAAGAAACACTGCTAAGGCATTATATGAATTTTTTTTCTATGAGAATGAGATTATAAAACTGAATTTTATTCAGAAAGAAAATTGCTTCTTCCTTTGTGCGCAGTCATTTATGCCAATGCCAACCACTTTTAAAAAAATTTCTCCCTCATTTTACAAATGTAGTGTTTCCTTATTTTTATTTTTTTTGAAAAAAACAATCCAGCATTGTTTTGCATTGGGCTATGTAAAACTTTCTGAGATCTGAGACCGAAAGCCCATTTTCAAGTGTGAAGGGAAAGAAAACACAAAAAGGAAAAATTTCCACTGATATAATATTGCACTTTCCTTTCTATTGAGTTATCAGTCACATTTATTTAATAGTCAATTCTAATTCTTTTTTGCAATCAACTTAATTCTTTATTTAACTTCAGAGATTAACTGTTGTTTATTTGACAATTTATTTGCACGCCATGGATCAAAGTGAACTTCTTTGCATGGATGTTTTTTTAACTCTTTTCTCTTGAATACTTGAACCAAATTCAATTGTGCGTTAATCTGAGTCAGTGGATTTGTGATGAATATAGGCTTCAGCTACGCATTTTTTTTTTTATTATTCCCTGTTGCTGCATGCCTAAGTAAATAAATAATACTCTTGATTATTCCCGGACTTTTGCAAGATTTTATTTATTTATTAAGATTTCTCTACTTGTTTATCTATTACTCGACTAATTCAGTCAAGTTAGACAGAAAAACAAGGGCAGTAAAACTCTTCCTATTAAATTTTTAACACAACTACGTACCAAGAACTCAAACTCAAGACTAAGCCATTATGACTTATCCAGTGATGAGAAATTTGAGTAGATTGTATTAGTTTATGCGTTCAACTCCTACTATTGAATAAAAAAAAAAAAACTCAAACTCAAGACTACTTATTAACATATAAACAATACTGTTTCAGTTGATTAGTGTTCGATGGTGGAAGATTTGGTTTCTTGAACACGTGATGGAAATTCTTTTAGATTAACCTGGCAACTCTCTTGTAGTCAATATAATGTGCAAATTCAGATAATGCTGCCTTCATATCATGGATGATTCTGAATGTACAATAATATCGACTATGTTGAGTTTTTGCTACTCTCCATATTTATCACCCTTTTGGCTTTCATGCATATGGGTCTGAATGTGTCACAGTAATGTGGTGAAATTATTTTATATTTTGTTCTATGAATGCGAGGCCTTTAAAGGTTTTTATTTATTTTTATTTTTTATTTTTAGGGATTAAGGCATAAATATGTTTTCAACAAAATAACCAACACAAAGCCTTGGAAATCAGAAGTGTAGATAAAAATTGAGCAACATAAATGCTTATAATCCAGAGTTAAAAGCAAAAAGGTATCGTGATACTATATTTATAATTTCATGATCTGTTCTTGTTTGCTTAAATTTACTTCATTAAGATTTAAGAGCTTGCATGATACGAAACTGATAAGAGACTTCCTAGTCCCTACCACAGGCTACTGACTCTCTGATTCTTCTAATAACTTTTTCTTCTCCATTTTGAGTATCTTCAAAAGAGTTAGAACAATAAAAGTAGATGATGGCGTTTAGACAAAGGGTGCATGCCTGACTTGAATTGCTTATGGAAAACTGATTTGTAGATAAAAAGCATGACAAATCTTTGAGCAAAGGTTCTCTGGTTCCAAAGAGATGCAAAATAAGTGTACTATGGAAAAGAATAATGTTGTATTGATAAATTATAGAAAAACAAGAAAAATACCGTAGTGATCTTATGCCCCAAAATCAGCTCTAGATTCACTTCCGTGCAACATCCACCATTGCCCCAACATGAGCTTGTTGGGTCCTCAACCACTTGGGGATATAAAAGTAGATGTGAAAGGTAGACATGTGTCACCTAGCTAATTGCATATTTGGATTTTATGTGTTCATTAAACATTGTTTTGGTTTAATTTTGTTCTTACATCTTAACCTTAAAGATAGCTTGTAAGTTATTTTGTTAATCATTAGATTCTTTCAATGATCAAAAGGTATCATGTAACCAAAAATATTTTGTTACTCAGAACAAAAAGTTGCTTGGTTTCAAAGCAAGTACAAGATAGTCCTTTCAAGGTTTTCAATTGGTCATTAAGGGCAAGCTTGGACTGATAGACAAAAAAAAAAAAAAAAGTGAAAAGAAATTTTTTATTTTAACTATTTTTTTTTTAGTTGTTTTTTGGAAATATTTCAATCGGTTCATTGCTTCGCAACTAATCCGATTCGGGACGGGTCCATGATTAAGACTTTAAATTCCTCCCAAAGATGATACTGGAGAGATTCAAACACATGCTCTCATGTAACCAAAAATATTTTGTTACTCAGAACAAAAAGTTGCTTGGTTTCAAAGCAAGTACAAGATAGTCCTTTCAAGGTTTTCAATTGGTCATTAAGGGCAAGCTTGCACTGATAGACCAAAAAAAAGTGAAAAGAAATTTTTTATTTTAACTATTTTTTTTTATTTGTTTTTTTGGAAATATTCCAATCGATTCATTGCTTCGCAACTAATCCGATTCGGGGCGGGTCCATGATTAAGGCTTTAAATCCCTCCCAAAGGTGGTACTGGAGAGATTCGAACACATGCTCTCATCCCCACCTGCTTAACTCCTATGCGCCAACTATGCTACCACCATTTTGAGAGCTAAGTCTTGGAGTAACAGTAAGTTTGTTGTCTGTGACGGGAAGGTCATTATAGTTTGAGTACGAAAAAAGTCTCTTTGAAAAAAATGCGTACAATTGACCTTAATCCTTCTCATCACAAATTAGGAAACTTTATATATCGGGTTTGCCTTTAAGTAAATATTTTTTATTTAATTTCTTTAAAGTTAGATTAATAAAATAATATTTTTATTAACATTTTAACAATCCCTTATTCATTTTTTTTAAATATTATACAATTCTAAAAAAATAAAAAGAAGTAATCCTCTAAATTTTCCTCAAATTCCTCCATGGAAGACAAAGGGCTTGATGAAAGATTAGCATTTGGCATCATAGCAGGGTGTCAATTTAAATGATTCGGTCAAAAAGAGCAAAGAAAGACATGTTACAATGCACTTTTGTTACATCATAAGCTAATCATGCAATTATCAAAACAGATTATTAATTAAGCAAAGCCAACTACCTGATTAATTAATGGAAAAAATGTGTGTCCTTGTAAATGACACAAGCTTAAGTTATTTTAAGAGAAAGATGGGCACAAAGAAATATGGATACCACTGAAAAAAATAAAGATGTAAATCTTACCTCTTTGTGTTTATCTCTATCTTAAAAAAATTTAAATTTGTGTCTTTTAAAAAGCACACACTTTTTCATTAATTAATTATTATTTTTAGTAGGTAATTAATTGTTATTTTACTATACATGTTTTGTCAAGATCTTTTGACATAAATCTACATTGGGAACAGAAATATTTGTTACCCAAGGTGGAACATTTTGTTACATGCAAGTGGGAAATGGAGCCCTACGGGCTATAGCTGATTAAATTGTGTGATGGGTATGGAAAGAGCAACAAGCAGAGCACCTGATACTACGTACTGTCACGAAGATAATCTTCAGTTACTTTGCTTTTTGTGGCAAATAGTCAGAGAAAGATGAATTTTGAGGGAGAAGCTACATTGAGTTTCTAAAATGTTTACCAAGTTGGCTCTCACTCATCCTTTTATGACGGCTGATACCAAGCTAGTAAGGTGGGAGACCAGGAATCTTAGCAGATAACAAAAGATTGTGCATTATGTATTATATGCCTTCTTACGAAAATGATTTTGAACCAGATACCCCTTTATCATATGTGGTAGAAAGTGTCAAGGAAAAACAACATTTTATCTTAGCTGGGACTTCTTGAATTATCTGTTATTTTATGCTTCGGGGAACACTAGAATCTTGGTCAACAAAATCTCAATATAGTTGACTCAAGTGATAATATGATTTTTAGGGATTGACGAATTATCAAAAGAGCAAGGTTCAAATTTTGAGGAAAATATTTAAGGTCTGCTGAGCTGGATAATTAGTCTCATACCTATGGAATATTGGGAACCTGATTCATCCATGGGTAATTAGAGTAATAGAATAAAAAAAAACTAGTTAATCAATGATCACATTTGTTGGTGAACATGTGAACTATTTTATGTAGACGAATAATGTAGTATGCTCTAAGACATCAAGGCAAAGTTCTCTTAAAGCAGCCTACAAATTTATGTTATAATCTACAACCAGTATGGCTGTTGTAATAATGGGGACCTCGAATAATGTAGATAAACTTGATATTTCAACTGTGTGTTTATCTCATTCATTGGTAGCCTTCAAATAGGCGAACATACAATAAATGGTAACAACGTAACAGACTAAAACAAATAAATACTCTATCTAAACAGTCCTATGGTTACAAAGAATTCAAACAATATACATTACAAAGAATTCAAACCTACGGTTACAAAGAATTGAATTCAAACAATATACGTTACAAAGAATTCAAACCTACGGTTACATACAATCTCCAACACTCCCCCTCAAGTTGGAGTATGTAAGGATGAAATGCCCAACTTGGGAAGAAAACTAAGAAGCTCGCGTTGTCCCAAGGCTTTAGTAAACAAATCAGCAAGTTGGGAACGAGAAGGCACATGAGCTGTTGTAATATGCTTGGCTAGAATATGTTCACGTACAAAGTGGCAATCTAACTCAATATGCTTGGTACGCTCGTGAAACACCGGATTCGCTGCAATGTGTAAAGCAGCTTGGTTATCACAAAACAATTCCATAGGACTTGAGTGAGTGACCCCAAGAGAGGTAAGAAACGACTTGAGCCACACAATCTCTGCTGTAGCTGCAACCATTGATCTATACTCTGCTTCTGCAGAAGAGCGAGACACCGTTACTTGTTTCTTGGACAGGAAGGATGGCCTATATTAAAAGAGCTCAATCTAACCTTTGATGGCAATCTGTTATGAAGTACCTTCCACAAGAACAATTTAATCACTTGAGGACCTTCCCATTTCCAAATCTTTTTCCAAATCACTGAATTACCATGAGGATCAGTAACATTACCTGCAAGTGTCTGGTAGATGCTTTTAACTGAAATCTGGTATAAGTTATTTAAACTCCAACGCATGTAATCAGCTTCATCCTGTTCATTGGGAGGTAAAATGCTTCTAATTAATAACACAACATCAGCAGGAAGCCAACGAGCTAGTAACTGTATATCCCAATTGTCCTGATCATTAACATACTCATTTAGCTTTTTATTACTTTCCTCCCATGGAATTGGGGCTGCAGTCATGTCCATAAGCCTTTTTCCTTCTTGAATCCATTTATCTTTCCAAAATGAAATATCAGCTCCATTCCCAATCTCCCAACTGAGGTGATTTTCTAATTTTTTCTAGATTGAACAAATGTACTTCCACAATCTTGAATCTCCATCTTTGCAGCTGAATAAAGAATTCCCTCTTTTCTGACCACTATATTTAGCCCTGAGAAGATGCACCCAGAACTTATCCAGATGAGCAAAAATATCCCAGGCCAGCTTCCCTACGAAAGCATCATTCATGACAATTAACTTTTTCAAACCCAAACCTCCCTCTGCTTTCGATTTTGTAATTATCTCCCAGCTCACAAAATACATCTTTTTTCTCCTCTATGTCTCCCCAGATGAAACCTCTCTGCAACATTTCAATTTCATGACAGATTGATTTTGGGATTTTATCACATTTCATTTGAAAGAATGGAATCGTGGACAAAGCAGACTGAGCAAGGGTGATCCTTCCTGCTTGTGATAGGCACTTTGATTGCCAACCATTCAACTTATTTTGAACCTCTTCAACAATTGTAGCATATGCTTCCTTAGATGCTCTACCATGCTTCATCCACACCCCCAAATGTCTCCCTACATTGCGCAACCTTTTAAACCCACAAGCATTTGTAATCTCAACTGCTACATTGTCTGCAGTGTTTCTAGAGAAGAAAATACTAGTCTTCTGTTGATTCACTCTCTGTCCCGAAATATCACCAAACAGATGCAAAAACTTGAGAATAATTTGGATTTGATCCATAGAAGCTTCAGCAAAGAGTATTAAATCATCAGCAAACATCAAATGGGATACATCAGGTCCTCCTTTTCTAGCCTGAATTGGCTTCCAAAGATTACCTTGAACTGCAGTGTTGATAATATGGCTGAGCTTTTCCATTACAATAACAAAAATATAAGGAGAGAGAGGATCCCCTTGTCGGACTCCTCTTGAAGGTTGAAATTCATCAGACATCCCTCCATTCCAGAGGACATTGAATTTAGCAGTAGAAATTGCAACCATAATAATACTAATTAAATTGTCCGAAATTTGCATATCCTGAAGAATATTTTTAATAAAACCCCAATTTAATCTATCATAAGCTTTTTCTAAATCCACCTTGATGGCCATGAAAGTCTTCCTCCCTCTCATTCTATGCATTGAATGAATCAATTCCTGCACTATAATTATATTATCTTGGATATGTCTTCCCGGAACAAAGCTTGCCTGGACAAGGGATATGATTTTATCCTTTATACCAAACATCTTTTGAACCACAATCTTACTCAGGACTTTATAAATTATTGGACACAAGGATATGGGTCGAAATTGTGCCATTTGAGATGGATGTTGTTCTTTAGGAATAAGAACAAGTAAAGTGGAGTTAATAGTTTACACTAGATCCAGATTTTCCCATAAACTAAGAATATGCTGAAACTATATTCATCTTTTCTCAATTAACTTAGAAGAAAGCAGCTAGAAAACCATCCACTCCTGGAGCTTTATAAGAACCCATATTAAACAGAGCTCTTCTAACTTCCTCTTTTGATGGATTTTTACTAAGCATGATCTTATCCTTAATAGATAAAGAAGGCCATAGGTTTGGAGATGAAAGCCAACTTCTATGAGGAACCTCCTCGGAGTACTGATTTTGAAAGAATTTACAAGCATGGTTTTTAAGCTCATCTGGATCAGAAATCCATTGATTGGAAACATCTTTGAGTCTCACAATTTTGTTGGCACTTCTCCGGATAAATTTAGGTGATAGAGTTTAGTGTTTCTATTACCATCAACGATCCATTGTTGTCTAGACTTTTGAAACCACAACAACTCTTCTTCTTCCAGGACTTTCTTGACATTGATCCTTTATATTCTTCAATCTTATACTGTCATTCCCATTTCTTTGATGCTGAATATTTTCCAGGCCTTTCAATAACTTTTCCTTTTTCCTATTAATATCACCAAACACCCTTTTATTCTACTTTTGAAGAGCAGGCACTAATCTTTGGAGCATATATGGAATGTCAAAATCCTTATCCCAGTTATCATTTAAGAAGTCAGGAAAAGCATGGTGTTGATGCCAAGCTACTAACAAACAGAAAGGCTTTTTACCTTTGGTATCTTTCCTAACATCCAGATTTAACAGCAAGAGATTATGATCAGATTGGACCCGAGGGAGATGAATAACTTTTGTATCATCAAACTTGAGTCTCCAATGAATATTTGAAATAATCCTACCCAATCTTTTGTAAACTCTGTCAAGTTAAGCCCATTTTGGACCTTGCCAAGTGAATTTAGATCCTGTGAATCCCAAATCCTCTAATTGACAATCATCAAGAATTTCTTTGAAGAACTGGCATTTTGTATAATTTGGAGGAGATCCTCCTTTCTTTTCTGATGCAGCTGCAATTTCATTAAAATCTCCTCCAACCAGCCAAGGCTCAGCCATGTTCCTGCTAATTCTCTTCAAATCATGCCACAAATAGAATCTCCTTGCTTCCCTTGGACTAGCATATACCGTTGTACAAAGAAAACTGTTCCCATTCTTAAGAGTGACTTTTGAGTGAATCATTTGGTCAAATTGAGAAACTGGCTCCACATTAATCTTATTTGAATCCCACATAATCCAGATTCCACCAGAGAACCTCTGGGCTTCTTCCACATAACAGCTATTAAAACCACACTTTTTCATGATCTTTGAACCAGAAGAATTGTTAGCTCTAGGTTCTAATAGAACTATCATGCAAATATGATGACTCATAACTAGATTTTTCAACACACGACCAAAATCTTTCCCAGCAGCACCTCTCACATTCCAGAAAAGAATTGACATAAATAAATCAAGCATTGTTTACAGGGTTTTGGAGTACCTGTACCTCCAACTCCATTGGCGAAGATTTTCCATCCAATTCTTCTCGAATCTGCACTCCCTGGATATGATTATCATGCTCCATATCATCACGCTTCTAATCAGGTGGCTTGGGTGCCTGCTGGACTTCAATTTTTTGGATATTTTTGCTCTGCTTCAGGTTGGTAGGAGGAATATCTTTCCTCGATAGGATTTGGATTGAAGGGATCTCTATGGCCTGAGACTCTGCATTATCTGTCTTTGTGGTATTCTGGTTCATAAGATTCCCAACTTGACTTGAATTGGCAGATGTCTTTTTCTTATTAATGGTCCTCTCTTTTGTAACTCCAGCTTCTTTTCTGTTATTCAAGCTCTTCTCTACAATGGGTTCCTCATTAAATCCCCCTACCAATTTGTAATTGGTGCTGGTTTCAATTACCTGTATAGCATTATTTGTATCCTTCTTCCTCTCCTATCTAACCCGAATAGGTTGATTTTTTGTGCTTTGCTCATCAATGCTTTCTTCATCATTAATTTCCACATTCAAATTCCCCACTTTTCCATCTTCTACACCTTTAGCATCATTTTCAAGAGCAGTAAATCTGGATAATTGTCTCCCTGTGGGTTGGCCAAAATGGTTTTCCTTCTTTCCCTTTTGAGCAAAGTCAATATTTCGGTTCAATCTCCTCTGCCTATTCACTAGCATCCAAGGACCATATTTATTTTCATGTGCTATCTCTCCACTTATGTAGCTTGGATTCATATGTGTGACCATTTCTTCTCCTTGTTCCTCCCTAATTTGGCTTTGAGATGATTCAGCTTTTTCAGTAGGACTTTTAATTGAGCACATCTCTGATCTATGTCCATATTGACCACGAGAATAGCACACCAAGTGTAATCCCTCATACTTCACTTGCTTCAGTCTTCCCTCAAGTTTATACTCAGCATTCAGTAGCTTGGTAAGATCTAATTCAACACATATGAGAGCAAATCTACCTCTAGCCAATGAAGTCGTAACTGCATCAACCTTGATAAATTTACCCAACCAATTACCAATCCCCTTAATTAATTATGTGTTTGTATACTCAATTGGGAATGCGGAAGCCGCACCCAAGCTGTAATTCGAGCTATTGCTACTTGAAATGGATTAAAATTTGGCTCCTAAGATCGAATCGCAAGATAATGATATAAGATTACCCAAGGTCCAGCAGTCAAAGCATGATCCAAATCCTTCTGACATGAAAAACGAACTAGGGAATATCCATTTTCCACATCAGTGATATACACTTGTCCTTCCTTTGCCCACATATTTTCCAGTCTTCTTTTCATGAAAGTCAAAGACAATTTCTTACCTAACAGCTTGGCATATATTTCTTTTTTCCATGGTCGCCATGCCTTCTTCTTGAAGTCAGCTGAGAGTTTGAAATTCGTACGACCATCTTTATCCACTTCCCATGTTACTTCAGGTTGTTTTTCCTTGCTTCCATCTTCCTCTTTTTCCTCCTCCTTTTCGTCGTGGTCCGATGGTATTTCCTCCTCTTCACCCCACCATTCTCCATTGTGTCGCATTAACATTTCTTTGAACGAGATTCCCTCTTTCATCCACTCTTCTTCTCTCGGCACCATCGTTTGATCTCGACTAAAGGGAGCATCTCCTCCCTTATATTTTTTCTTACTCCTGTGGAGATTCTCAAATTCCTCCGGTGAGATTTCAGCCTTCTCCGCTGTTGCCATTAAATCGTACAGAAACCCTAGCAAAGCCCCAATCCCTTCAACCTTCTTTTTACTTTTAAGTATGTAGTTAATTTTGAGGTTGCAATTGGCATGCGAATTAAATTATTGCCACAATTCTCCTAATAGTTTATTTTCTATATTTTTATTTTTTTTGTAAATTATTATTATTTATTTTAAAGTATGTATTTTTGTGCTTGGCATGCAAGTTAAATTTGTGCATAGTTTCTTATTTTAGAGTTTTTGAATAAATGATAAAGTAAAATGTTGACATTATTCATTGTGTTAAATCTAAATATTATTAGTTAATCAACAACTCTGCTACAACGTTTGTTGTTAGAGGAGAAAACTCATAATGCTATTTCTCCATAGCAGCAAATATCTTTTCAATTTATATTCCTTCATTTTTTATTTATTTTTATTTTTATTTTCTCATTTCTTTCTCCCATTAGGCGTTAGTTTGGTGCGGGAATAAAATGGGAGTAAAAATGAATAGATAACTTTTATTAATGTAATTTTATTGAAAATTTGTTCATAAATTCTTTACCCTAATTTGTACACTTTATATTGTCATTGTTGCATACACTAGCTTCGTTAGAAGTTGTAGGTTTTTAAGTATGTTTTTGTAATTTTTTTTATAACTAAAAGTCACTTTAAGTTAAAGTTAAAAAAAAAAAAAGCTTAAAAAATAAAATTAAAAATTATTTGATGATTATATAAAATTGTTCTGATGGTTTTGAAGGAGGGAAGATAAAATAATTGATTATTAAAATGAATTATTGGGATAAAAGATAAAATTTATACATACAAGTTTAGAATAAAGAAAAAATTATAAAATAAATGGAGTCAAAAAAACTGGCATACATCTTAATTTTTTTTCTTAGGAACTTTAAACTTTTAGTCTTTTTCTTCATTATAAAAAAACTCTTTTTATAAAATTATATTTGTTAAACTTCTGTTTTTAAATAGAAAAGAAACTAAAAATAGGAGCAAAAAGAGAAACTTATCCAAAAAAGAATCTTCATAGCATTCCCTATCTTGGAAGAATACCGATCAGAGAAGCTACATTGTATAGTGTAGAATGCAATTTGCAGCTATATGTTGTTATATATGGTAGGGTCCTCCATTCAAGCCAAATTTAATTCAGACAAGGCTCTTATGCGATATATTCGGTTCTCTATCAAGCAGCTTTCATTTGATCTATAATATGACATGAGGCAAGATGTTTCTATTATTCTGTTACATGTCTACTCAAATATGTTTCAGAAACAGGTGTGACCCTGCTCTGGACTGAACACCCAGAAATATTTTAAGTCTCTTTCACATTAGTTTCTTGAATCCTCCTAATCGTGTATTGCATATTTGAAGTGATATCTCGTTATTACACATTAGAATCGAAGAGAAATTGTGTCCCCAAAAAATTATATACTCAAAGAGAGAGAGGAAAGAAAAAGGTAATAAAGTTAGTTAAGTTGGTCTGGAGCTAAGCGTCACACAATCAACACTATCAAGTTGTTAGAAGCATTGTTATCAACAGCTAGTATAAATTAGTGAAGTAAAAACTCTCTTTAGTAAAAACTGATAAAAGCTTCATGTAAAAATGTATAAACGTTAAAAACGCAAGTTTCTATGTTTTAACTTAAACCAAAAAATTGAATCGAGTCTTATATAATAATAAAAAAACTGAATTGGGTCAACTTTTAATCCATGACCCGATTTTTTTTTTAAAAAAAGAAAACCTATTTTCATTTCTTCCAAATAAAAATGCACAGTATCTTCTTTTACCTATCTGGGAAAAAAATCCTCGCCGAGGTAGTTGTTGCAGAGAAAGAAGAGGGTGAAGCCACTAGTGAAAAGTTTAAGTACTAAGCCGGTGTGAGTTTTGAATCAATTTATTATATTTTATTGCAAATGAATTTTTTAAAGGAGTAAGAGAAGCGGACATTGAGAATATACAACTGATGCAAAATGATGTGTTTGATTTGAATCAACTGATATCATCTAGAAGTTATTAAACTTTATTCTTTTCATGTTTTGAACTTGGTTATAGGAGTTGTTAAAATCTTTTTTGTATTTTGAGACATATGTCTTATATAGTTATGTAACTTATATCTTTTAAGAGAAAGGATATACTTACAACAAAAAAAGTTTACCACATTTACAACAAACTTAATCACCATTGATTTCCGTCAATCTAATGGTTATAATTTATTGAAAATTATTGGGTTGCATTTATTAATTAATTATTAATTTCCAATAAATTATAACCGTTAGATTGACGAAAATAAACGGTGATTAAGTTGGTTGTAAAGGTGATAAACTTTTTTGGTTGTAAGTATATCCTGCCCAATCTTTTAAATATATAATTGTTTATTAAATTTTGAGTAGTGACTTATGTAATATTATATATATATATATATATATATATATATATATATATATATGGCAAAATGATTTCTGCAGCTGCTGTACCTACAGCAAGCAAGGATCCGCGTCCGGATCCTAGGATACGGCATCGGATCCTGAGTTTTTTTTTTTTTAAAAAAAGCCATGGGGCCCACTTTTTGTGTCAGCTGTAGATAACACTATCTACGGCAGCTTCAGAAATGTTAAGCCCTATATATATATATATATATATATATATATATATATATATATATATATGGGGCATGATCTTTTACACCGGTGTAAGAGTAATAACTCTTACACTCAATCTTAACCGTTGATTTTTGCATATCTAACAGTTATAATTAATAATTAATTAATGAGAATAATATAATTAACTACAGTCGTTTGATGGACGAAAATCAAAGGTTAAGATTGAGTGTAAGAGTTATTATTCTTACACTGGTGTAAGTTGATCCTGTCTCATATATATATATATGGGAGGGGTTATATTTACAACCCAAATAGTTTACAAACTCTTACAACCATATCTTAACCGTTGATTTTCGCCAATCAACGGTTGTCATTTATTGTGAATTAATAATTAATTAATAAATTTAATTTGCAAAAATCTTAACCGTTGATTGACGGAAATCAACGGTTAAGATATGATTGTAAGAAGTTGTAAACGAAAATAGGTTGTAATTATAACCTTCCCCTATATATATATGTATATATATATAGAGGTAAAATCCTTTGACACCTCATATGAGAGCCGTTAGATCAAAAAATATTAATGGTATCACATGCTTACAAATCATATTCGTTGATATTTTTTGATCTAACGGCTCTCAGATAAGGTGTCAAAGTTCAAATTTTACATC